CACTTTATACATCCCTAAGACTTGCTTAAGGACTCCAGGTGGTTTGCAGATTTTGAGTAGAAATTTATCTCAGAAAATTTTCAAACATGTTCATGAAAATGAGAACTTACAGCTCACACGATGAAAATAATTGGAAACGTTTTTGTGAATGACATGAACAAATTGTCACCAACAGCCCAGTGAGATCCAGGCTTTAGAGTAAACAAAGCTGTGTTTCCTATATTATCTGTAAAGTAGGCTTGGGCGGTATCCAAATTCTTATACCGTCTAGCTTCCTCCACATTGTATCAAGGTGCACGGTATTACTGGGGCTAATTTAAAAATGATGATGTACGCCTCAAGTGACATTACCAAGCTGTTTGTTTGGATCTTTACTGTTCAGAAACAGAATAACAAACACTATAACTAAAGCAAGAACAACATAACACACACATTATCATCATCTTTAGAAAAACGCTGCTTATAAAAAGATTTTCCTCCTGGAAAATCAGCATGTTTACCTTTTCCAGCTTCAACCTCCGACTGCTGCAAACCCGTTTCGATGAGCTTGTGGCATGAACATGGGGTACTGTGGTGCTAGTTGCGACATCTGGGGAAAGCTGACAGCTTATTTTTCACCAGAAAAGTGCTTTGTTGTCTTTTAATAACAGGCTCCAGACAGAAAGGTGCTATTTCAGCAACAGTTCGCTCCTCTGCGGTTCCGACGGAGCGTGAATCTTCCGCTGTCATCTTTTGTTTGCACAAATAACCTCATCAGTGTTTACCGGCTCTCTTTTTAAGTTTGCTTCGAACCAGCAGAATACTCCCAAACTGCAGAAGTTGTGTTGTTTTTAGACACCAAGTCAGCTGATGCGCGAGCTGACATTTTTCTCTCACATGGTGACATCAAGTTCATAAATTTTATGCAAAGTCTCCAAAAGTTGGACAAAACATTTTAAACTATTTAAGAAAAACAGAAAATTCAACCACGCTCCTGTATTTTTTAACACTAGATTACTTTTATTTATCTTTTTATTAATTGTTGCTTTTATTTTTTTTATCCTTATTTCTCACGTGCACTGTTTTTTTCACGACAGTATTGGAACTGACACTGTTGCTATTTTTTAACACCGGCTGTATACAGTAATACCGTAATACTGCCCCAGCCTATTGTAAAGGTTGTGAACCACATTTTAATAAAAAGTCTGTAGTCATGCTGGTTTTCTTGTTTGTGTGTTCTGCAATTAATTTTAGGAACACCTTTTCTCCCTTAAGCCTTTTGGTAAAACTTGTGCTGATTTATTGTGTAAACAGGCTGTTGCTGAAAAGTTGCTTTGCCTTTAAACAATTACAGAGAAAATACAAATTACTAAATTGCAAAAAAAAAACAGTGATGCACCTTCATTTTCCACAAGAAATACTTGATTTAAGTGTCTCAGAGTCACGTCGCTTTTTTAGATAAGTGTCATCAAATAAAACAGTTTTTCCACAGTTTCAATTTGAAAAGGCCAAATGTTCAAAACTTGCAAACAATTGAAAAGCATAAAGACACGATAATAACGCTGCTTGGTGTCCTCTTTTGTCCCTTTTGTGTCATTTTACAGCTAATTTTCAGATGAATCTGTTTTCATTCAGATACTTTTGTGTGTAAGTAATACCAGTTTGCTCTCAGGCAATCTTCTCAACAGGTGCTTTTATTAAGGTGATTTAAATTTAGTTAGATGATGGTTGTGAGACTCGTTCCATATGAAGATCCATAATGTATTGTTAGGGATTTCATCAATATGTTTATCAATAAACCCATTTCCTGGAGTCGAAGAGAAAAGGAGACAATGAAGCAGACATACAACCAAAATTGCAATTTTGTGGCAAAGCACGAGGCAAATGCCCTGAATTCTGCTCACAGAGTTTATTTATTACAAAAGATAGGAAAGGAATGGGAGTGAGGTCATGTGAGAGAGTTGTGTGTGTGTGTGTGTGTGTGTGTGTGTGTGTGTGTGTGTGTGTGTGTGTGTGTGTGTGTGTGTGTATTGGAGGTTACAAGGAGACAAGAGTGTGTGTGTGTGTGTGTGTGTGTGTGTGTGTGTGTGTGTGTGTGTGTGTGTGTGTGTGTGTGTGTGTGTGTGTGTGTGTGTGTGTGAATGCTTTCAGGACATTCAGTTACCGGTATTAAAGTAATGAAATATAAAATTTCCATAACATGTATCCATGAACAAACTCTTTGTGATTATTCCTTTCATGTACCACCTGTACTGAACTAGGCAGCCCTAAATGTGGAAATCAAAAGAGATTGTCTGATTCTGTTTTCAGCCTAGTCATCAGTTACCGGTATGTGAGTTTTTCTCTTTGCAAAAGTAAAACTTTGCACTTGGGTGCAGTTCATGCCTTTCAAACTACCGCTGCGATGAAGGCTGCTTGAAAACTAATGTCACCAGCATGATTACTTGAAATCCATGCCATCTACTTAGTCTGTGTACTCAGAAAATCAAAACACCGCTGGTTTTGCTTTTTTGGGGACACACAAGACCTGATCTGTGTCTACTATGATGCTGATACCTTGACAACTAATGACAAATTTAATACAAGACACACGGTGCACTCTGTCACCAGACATGCATATCATCTCCTGCTGATTTCTTCATCCGCAATAATTTCAGATCTTTCAGAAGTAAATAATTGCATAATTTCAGTGAGTAGTGAGGTGTAAAGTAGCCCCAGATTATATTACGTTATGTGTTTTTATTTAGTGATCAAACCACAGATTTGGAGTTTGGATTCATGACATGAAGTACAGAGTTTAAACAAGATAGTGTCTGCAGTTTTTAACGTCTTCCATCTGGAGTCTCAGCAGGTGACGTCTTAAAGCTGACATCCCCATCACTGATCAGAATGGTGCTATTAATTTGTTATCTTCCATGCTCATTGCTGGTAACCTATATTATGTGTCCAGTCCCACTCTCAGGCTGGCAAAGAAGGAGGAGGCAGGCGGCGTTATGGGTAGCTTTATTCCTTTATTTCTCCCTTCATATCTACAGAGCAGCTGTCTCACTTTTTTTGTTCCTCACAGCTTTTTCCCCTTTCTAATCTCGCGAGCTTTCTCTCACACATCGTTCTCTTCTTCTTGCACACACTACTCTCTACTGACGTCAAAGTAGATTTGTTGTCGTGAAGACACAGAGTGACCTGTCTGTAGTAAATCTGGCGCTGCTGGCAGAGAAAATGCAGTTTCTCCTTTCAAAGTAGTTTGCAAACACATCAACAACAACTTAAGTATTCACGTTGGAGATTTGTGCCGTTCTTCTCAATTTCCTCTCAGCTGAAATTGAAAATGTCTATAGTTAACCTGCCGTTTTAGGCCTCGGCTGATGGATTTTCCTTGTGTTAAAGGTTTAGCTTCATATTCCATGTCTCTGCTCTGACAGATATATACAGTATTTCCTTTGGTTTGACAGCATATTTGCTGCTGGATTTCCCCAGAGATTTGATGTTTAGTCTCTTCAGGCCTTTAAATCAGCCAATGCATGTAGCAGAAAATAAATCTTTTATTTTCAGGACACATTCTGAACACACTGTTAGATGCAAAGAGATTTGTCTTGTACATGTGGGTGTAATTGGTATGTAGATTACCCGTTAGATTTTTTTCTGCATTGGGTTTAATCAGGCTATAGATCCATAAATAAAACAGGCACTTGTTTGGAATTCATCTTGATGCTTTAGCCCAACACACATCACATTTATATTGCATATCACCTGGCATCAAATTACTTGATTTGTTATTTTTATGCCTGACATCAAACAACATGCTGCAAAGCTGAAGTATATTTGTAAAAACTAAATATCTGCACAAGCCTAGAAGAAAATTCAGTTATGAAGAACAAAACTACATACACTGAACTATTTAATTGGTACACAGTTTTATTTGTGATATTTTACACTAAACTTTTTTTTTACAGAGTCCATCTTCTTTCTTTTAACCCTCCCACTGTCCTAATGGGTGTGACCCCGCGACGAAAGTTGACCATTGAACAGGGTTGATGGTTTATCCCTAGGGTCCATGTGGCGGGGGTGAGGAGTGAGCACCACCTCACCCCCGCCACGTGGACCTCAAGGGATAAACCATCAACCCTGTTCAATGGTCAACTTTCGTCGCGGGGTCACCCATAAAGACAGTGGGAGGGCTAAATGAATTATAGATTTTAAGTGTATTTCAAATTGAAATACGCAGATAAATTGAGATTATGAAAAATATTTTTAACTAACAAAACTAAGTGAAAAATTACAAACCAGCAATTACAAACATGCAGAATAACATTTCTGCAATTGCAGATATTTTAAAAGGACAATCTTGGCAAACTTAAATCTGTTCACGTTTCATTTTCTTTTCATCTGGTGCAGTTCTCATGTTGTTGTTTACTTGTGCTGATTGAAAACTGTTCTGATTTAAGTTTATTTCCAGCAAATTGTCATTTTTTGCTCATTTCACTTCACAGTGGATAAAACAAATATTCATCTGAAGTACTTATCTAATGCAATCATGGATATTATCATAAACTGCTTCCATTTCTCGGGTACTGCCTTCAGACAGAATCCTAATGGGAATTTTTGTTGAACATGACCTGTTGCAAACATATAATTATTCATGTCAATAAAAATCTTTTTGTGCCCCGTTTTGACATGTCCTCAAATGCACTACAGAATAATAATGTATCAAGACCAGAAAGTCCTGCTTAAATAAAAGTATCAGATTAATTAAATCACATGCTGTGTTTACAAGGTGGGATTTAATCAAAAGTAATAAAAGGTGGCTCAAGCCAAGATTTTCGCAAGACTGTTATGAGCTTCTGGGGCTTTGTCTTAAGAGTGACTCTGATTAAAATCCTCTTTAATATTTTCCCTGCTGTATTAATCTTTACGCAACGTATTCTTGCTGCAGACTTTTTCCCTACAAACAATCCTAGCCAGATGTGAAGGATAGCCTTTGATTGACGTGTTCTCAGATGCCTTTTTTTCTGTCCTTTCAGTGCTGGGTGTTGTTCCTGATTTTTGCCAGTGCCGAGACCTGGAGCTGGACTGCGACAGCTCTCAGCTTCAAGATATCCCTGTGGTGCCGATAAATGTCACCATGATGTGAGTAGAAAATACCCCCCTTATGTTTGTTTTTTTTTTTCTTTTTTTTTTTTATTTTTACTGTCATAAAGCTCTGTCAATTCTCTTGGAGTCAGTCATCAAAAGCTTTGACTGTCACATCTCATTGGAAGTGGTGAAGTAGATGTCCACCCTCCAAGACCCCGTCTCAAAACCAGGAAAAACATCAACCTGTCAGTGCTAAGATTACTCATTGAGAGGCAAAACATTAAAAAATGATGTTCCCTGTCTCTTTTACAGTTTAAAAGAGAGCCCAGTTTGTTACCATGTCATCTAAACTTAACAAAAATAACGTCATATGAGGGGGCGGGTTGTCAGGGTTAAAAGGCAGCGAATAAATAACAAGGAATCTGAATTAAATTACCCTAAAAGAAAATACGGTCAGTAGATATGTTAAAAGCAGCGAATCAATGAGAAATGTTTAAAATATAAAGTACTTATATTTAAACATTTGCTTAAAACTGGAAGGTATTACAACTCGAGTACAAGGCAGTATAAATCTATTACCGATCAATGTTCAGATGTTGTTTGTAAGAAGAGCGAGTTCTTACAATTTGAAAGGAATTAAAATCTTTAAGAAACCTAAGTTCAGAACAGTTAAAGAGTTTGGCACAATGGTTTATGGAATCACTGTGGAATTACTTAGACATGGAAATGAAAGTTTCAGGGTGATGAAGCATATTTAAAAAAACACATTAAATGACTTGCTTTTCAAAATTATACAAGTTAAAGGGAAATAGTAGTATCAATTGTATTGGGTGTGAACTTAAATTGCTTGATGTGTTTGTTATATATTTACTTGATGTTGTTTTTTATTTTTGTTAAAGACTTTTTATTTTACTCTTCACCTTAGAAAAAGGGACAAAGATTAATAAGAGTTTCTCTTCTATCTGCTCCCTTTCATTCTTTTATTAGACTGAATGTTCATGTTTATGTTTTCTTATGTTGTGTTTTGAATTAAATAAAAATGAGAAAAATAAAAGGAATCATGCTGGTTCTTTTTCAAAAGCCTAAATACTTCTGTGCATCTGCTGCTCTGTCTGCAGCTTGTAAAATGTCCGTCGTGTCTGAAAAATGTCGTTACTTTCCTGAAAATCCCACTGCCTCCTTGCAGTGCTCAAACTTTCGTTCCCAATGATGATGGAGGATAGAACAATGTTTCTACCTGTTTCATCTATATTCAGCATTTAAATTTTTATTCCATCCAATTGCTGGGAATTGGAAAACCAGAGTCAGTAAATCTCTAGATGTAAACAACGCTCTCATTAGCAGCATTACAAATCATCAAAAGTTACATGATGCAGATACGAAACAAGAAAAAAAGCTATTGGTTTGGAACTTTTTCTAACAAGCTGCCATTAGGGCCATTCCTAATTTGTACAGCCTGTTTACAAACATCTTTCTAAAGAAAATATGTGATTCTGCATCATAAAAATCTAACAATCAAACAGTCATTGTCTTAAAGTATCAAACAAAAATGAAAAACTAAATTTTTACATTGAATTAAATGAATGGATTATGAAAGTAGCCATTCGTCAGCGTACTCCAAGAAGATTTCATCTTCGCCTGATGGCTTTGCATGATTTTTCCTTCTAATAATGAAAACCGTGACCCCTGAGAGTTTTTCTACCAAGAAGCTGTAAAAAGTTTTTAATTGATAGCTTAATTCTGTTTGCATAAAAGTTTAGAGACATAATGGGAATAAAAGAGATTGAGTTAAGATTCCCCAATAGTCCAAAAACGGACCAGCAGCCTGACGTAAGAGCAATGAAAGTAATGAGCTTCAAACCGTCCTGTAATCCCTTAAAAGCTTCGAAGCCAACAACTCAATCAACTCTTAGCCTTTTAGGTCTCTGATCGAAAATATTTAACACCTTTGAGGTTCGGCTGGATGTGTTTATCAGTGTAAAGAAAAATGTACACTGTTGTTTGTGTGCTTGACTTATTTTTCTGTTAAACTGTCTGATATGAATTGTATGCCTGTCTCATAACTGCATTATTTTATGTATTTTGTACATGAAAAGTAGAAAAGCCAGTTTTTAGAACGTCTCTTTGAAGTTAACAGTCCCCCAAATGAATGGCTCTCTTCACAGCGCCATAAGTCCCGTCAGTGGAAATTGGTTGTTTCAAGAAAATACTTGGCCCATTTGTTTTTTTAATAGATGTGAAATATTAAATAAGTCAGAGTAAATTAGCTGCCAGTTTCCCGATCCAAAATTAATCTGTTTTTGTTTGGAAAATCAAAGCGTTACAACTTTTATGTTTGTTTTTGGTTATGATTTCCATTTTAATGTTACATTTAGTAGAAAAATATATATATAATTATTGTATTTGGTTTTCATGCTCAGGTCTAAAAATGTCCTCCTGCTGTTTTCGAAACTTAAATAGAGCTAAAAGTGTAAAAATCTGTAAACAGGTCAGCTGTGTTATAACGCAACACGTCTGATGAGTCAGCCTCCACAGTTTAAAACTCTAAAATATGTAAATTTATGGTAAGTTCTATAATGTGATTTTAGTTCTCTGCTATCTCACAGGTCCCTACAAAGAAACCAACTTCAGAGACTACCAGCAAAAGGCTTCTTTAACTACCAGAACCTACAGAAACTGTGAGTTTTCCACTTTTTATCTCCCCCTCGCCATACAAACATATAACTTAATGTCACTCAGTTTGAGAAGCAAGAACAACAAAAGAGTTTATGGTCCTCAGAGGACTGCTGGGAACGCTGACAGGGGTGATTGTTCTGCTCTGCATACGGATCTGTTCATTGCGGACGGATGTTGTTTATCAGCGTCTCACAGTGTCAGTGACAGAGGCACCACGAGGACAGGTCTGATCTTTTTCCAGAAACCGTCTGGCTGTGTCAAATGGTCAGCGGTTTTCGGTTTGAACAGATTGAAAACTTTTAACACATTTATGTTAACAACACATTTATGTTAGCAAACCTTTCAAAAGACACATTTGCTATGAAAAGTGTCTATGGTCCTTGTTTATGGAAAACTATGTCAGACAACAACTTACCCCCTAAATTTAGACCTTCGGTATAACCTTAAAAACCACATTTACATTTTAGTTGTGAGTTTGTTCTTGTTTTCTCACTTTTTCATCAACATCTAGGTGTTTTTGTGCTTGATTTGCAGATATCTGCAGCACAATAAAATACAAGAAGTGAGTCCCGACGCATTCAGAGGGCTTTATAACCTCACAAGACTGTAAGTACACATATAAACATACCAAGGCCCCATCACCAGGGAGAATGGTGTTTTGTTAATATGCAAAGTTTTTGTATTGTTTCAGCCTTGTATCCACATGGAAACGGCTTCTAATGTGCCCCCTGCTGTATTTTATGAAAACAATATCGAAACACCACACATTTTATGTAGATATGGTAAAGATAATGCATCTTATAAATGATGAAGTTATGTAAATGCAATGACGGATTACAAGCTTGTGAATCTAGCGGCCCAGTGACAGGAACACCTAGATAAGACTGATGAGCGATATCTTTGGCTCAGAGGGACAGGGAACAAATCCAGACAAGTAAATTAGTACAACTTCCAGTTATCACTGTCCAGCATTTCTGTAGCTTTGTGGTTTATTGTGACACAAAGTAGAGCTTCTTCTCTGTCATTAGCTTACATGGAAGTGACATGGTTTGGGGAATGCGTTTAACCCAAGACGCACAGAATCACACACTCACAGTTCTTATGGTTAAAAAAAAGAATCTTTGTTTTAAAACGGGAACTGAAGGTGCACTGGAAAAGCCCAGTGGAGATCGAGAACGGGAGCACAGCGTCTGAGGAGGGGAGAGCAGATACAGGTCAGTCCAGGAAGGTAAGTCTACTTTAATTTTGGTGGGTGCAGAGAATAGACTTACTGGGAGTAGGAGAGTGTAGGAATGAGGGAGGGTAGGTTGGGTGCCAGGGTGAATCCAAGTGGGGTGTCCAGGAGAGGGAGCGAGAGGAGAGCGGGCCGGCCGGGAGGAATGGAGAAAGGTGAGAGCTGCGTCCGGAAATCCTATGGGGCACAGGTGAGTAATCCTGAGGAGTCACAGAAGTCCAAAAACGTTCCAAAACCAAGCTGTAGTAATCATCCGACGTCAAGGAGTGTTCGCCATCCTCCTTTTGTAGCCAGACCCGCTGATTGCAAATCAGCTGGAGCCTCAATCAATCAATCAATCAATCAAAAAACTTTAATCATCCCCGAGGAGCAATTGCCTCCCTCTCCTGAAACACACAACTCAAAGATGGGAAAATGAGAGGAGTACTCACCCTGGCACATATAACAGTAACACCCCCCCACCCCATACTTTAGAGATGAACTGGGGTCCCCGATCGGAGAGAATCTCCCCAGGGATACCGTGCAGCCGGAACACATGCTTAATGAGCAGTTTTGCTGTAACTGTGGAAGAAGGGAGAGATTTTAACGGTATGAGGTGGCAGGCTTTAGAAAACCGGTCCACAATGGTGAGTATCGTATTGAAACTGTGGGAGTCTGGCAACTCGCAGACGAAATCCAAAGCTACGTGAGACCAGGGGCGAGATGGAGTTGGAAGAGGATTTAATAATCCCGCCGGAGATCGATGGTCCCGCTTTAGCTGGGCACAAATGTGGCATCCTGACATATAGTCCTTTACATCCTTGTACATTGCCAGCCACCAGAAAGTTTGTCTTATAAGCGTAATTGTGCGTCCCGCTCCTGGCTGTAGAGAAAACCTGTCAGTGTGTGCCCAGTGGATGACTTTGCCCCTCAACCTGTGGTACATAGAGCCGGCCAGGAAGACCCTTACCTGGACCCGGGTCAGTCTTAAGTGCCTCCAACACCTGATCCCGGATCTCCCATGTGACTCCACCCACGACACATGCCCGGGGGGGGGGGGGGGGGGGGGGGGGGGGATTGTGGAGGGCTCAACCTCCTGATGTGGAGCTTACTGTCTAGAGAGGGTGTCTGGTTTGGTATTCTTGGGACCTGGGCAATAAGAAATCTGGAAATTAAAACGGGAAAAGAAAAGAGACCGTCCGTACTGCCGTGAGTTAAGCCTCTTTGCCTCTCTTAAGTAGACCAGGTTTTTGTGATCTGTCCAGATGATGAAATTGTGGGCAATTTCTGTTATTCTTAAAGAAAAGAGTCGGAGAGAGTTTTTCAGTCGAGAACAGCGTGGTCTTTTATTTGTCTTCTCACATCTCAGGACAGCCGAAAGACCCCGACAAAAGAGTGGCTCCCTCTTTTATAGCTCTCAGCCTTTGAACATTCACTAGTCAACCGGCGAGAACCAGACCATATTTGGTAGCACATCTCTCTGTGGAAACTGTGGGTGGAGACTTCTGTGTAGGACACAGCAACACTTTGGAATCACATCAAGTATTTAGCAAGTCAGATAAGCTTTAAGCAATTTTACTGGAAGCAAGCAGAGACCAAAACAGGAAATTCCTTCGGAGCTGATGTTGGAACAACACACGAACTCTAGCCAGAAAACACTTTCAACCTAAGGACTCAGCTTTAACTCAATACATTTTGTAGATGACCTCTTGACATTTTTGGCGCCAACAGTTTCAGCTCCCTCTAGCCAGTGTCTCCGCTCCTCTATTGCGAGCTTCACAGCCAGAAGCTCTCTGTCGCCCACGTCGTATCTGCTTTCAGTGGGGGGTTAAAGGGCGAGAGAAAAGAGCACAAGGGTGAAGTCGATTGTCCGAGGGAGATACCTGAGAAAGCACTGAGCCTACACCGGTGTCTGAGGCGTCCACTTCAAGTGTAAACTGGCATTGGGGATCAGGTCGGTGGAGCACAGGGGCGTTTGTAAATCTCCTGTTTAGTGTCTGGAAAGCAACCTCGGCTTCTGGGGACCAAACAAAAGGCCGATTAATAGAGGTCAAGTTTGTCAGAGGGTCGGCTGTCTGACTGTAGATCCTGATAAACCTGTAAAAATTGGCGAATCCCAGGAACCTCTGCAGTTGTTTACGGGACGTCGGTGTGGGCCATTCAGTGACCGCATGGACCTTCTCAACCTTCCGTTCTCAGTGATGAACCCTAGAAATTTTACGGTAGGGACATGAAACACAAATTTGTCAGCCTTCACATTTAGGCGGTTCTCTAGGAGGCCCTGTAACACAGACCTAACATGCTTAACGTGTTGTTCCTCAGAACTAGAGAAGATTAAAATATTGTCTAAGTAGACAGTCACAAACTTATTCAAATAGTCTCCCAAAACAGAGTTCACAAGGGACTGAAAAACAGCTGGGGCATTAGTCAAACCAAAAGGCATCACCAGATATTCGAAATGTCCGATGGGTGTCTTAAATGCAGTCTTCCACTCGTCCCCCTGACGAATCCGTGCCAAATGGTATGCATTTCTAAGGTCCAAACGACTGAAGATGGTGACATCCTGAATGGGCTCAAAGGCAGAAGTTAACAATGGCAGAGGGTACTTAGTCATCTGGTTAAGACCCCTGTAGTCAATGCAGGGTCTGAGTGTTCCCTCCTTCTTAGGAACAAAGAAAAAACCAGCTCCCAGAGGTGAGGAGGACGGTCTGATGAGTACGGCGGCCAGAGACTCCTGAATGTAGCTCTCCATGCTCTCTCTCTCAGGCTTCGAGAGGTGATAAAGGTGGCTGGAGGGAAGAGGAGCTCCGGGCAGCAGATCTATGCTGCAGTCGAGGGGTCTGTGCATGGACGTAATATTCGCTTTAGAAGTGGGGGGGACACGGGGGGGTATCTTTTCAGTACACTCTAATGGGAAACAGGCTTCAACACAAACGGTTGTTTTCTGCTTGGTCCTAGAGCTCAACCAGTCAGTTTAATATAGCGTAATATTGTTTTTGGATGGTAAAAAGTGCAGGGGTCAAAACTTGACTTTGGAAAAAGTGGGGGGACATGTCTCCCCCCCCCCAATTACGTCCATGGGTCTGTGAGAAGGAAGTGAAGAAGCCCGATCCTTACGGAAAACTTGACTGAGGTTGTGGTAGATCGGTGGCACTGCAGATAAATCTATCTTTTCCACCGGAGGGGCAGCGGGACTGCGGTGGATCGGAGAGGCTGAGTGGAGGCAGGTCTGTGAACATTTGGGGCTCCACTCCTCTTCTCGGTTCGTTTTTCAGTTCACGTGGGGGTTGTGGATAGACAGCCAGGAGTGACCCAGGACCAGCGGAGACTGAGGAGAGGGAAATACATAAAAAGCCAGTCTCCGTGTGGTTACCTGACACCCGTAACTGCAGAGAGATGGTCTGGTGAGTAGGGTTGTCACGGTGTGAAAATTTAACCTCACGGTTATTGTGACCAAAATTATCACGGTTTTCGGTATTATCGCTGTATTTTTTAAACATGTTAAATTTTCAGGAAACTAACTAAACCCTGTATATCAGGAAAATATTGTCCTCAGTTTGTGTCTAAATTTTGCCTAAAATGTGTTATTTTGTAATTATGTTGTTTATTTGTTTTTACATATTTCCCCTTTAGTCTTTAAAATACCAATATTTGCCCATAACTTTTTATTTTTTGTCTGTTTGATGTCATCATTTTAAAAATATTAGATCAGATGATACTCAGTACTCAAGTAGCCTTTTAATCAGATACTTTTTTTACCCTTACTTGAGTAATAAACCCTATGTCAGGAAAATATCATCCTCGGTTTGTGTCCTTCCAGTGAGCTTTGCAGATCTGGGAAAATGTCATCAGGCAGTAATCATTGTTAAATTCATAATTATTCTCGGAGAGAGACCAACTCTTATCTGCCCCTGGGAGCCCCGTAATGCATAGCGTCATTTCAACATGGGGGTGTTCGCGACACGGTTTATATGCAGGTAGCGGCTGCTTTATATAGCGACTCGTTGCATTCTCCCCCAACCAAAATCCTCAGATCACGCATTTTAGCTAAAACGCTAACTTGCCTTGCGTTGACTGCAGAGTTGTGGGTGATGGTCACGCAGATCTGTCATGAGATTTGAAGTGTTGCTGCCTTTCACAGACTCTTTTTCTGCTCGTGCTGCAAACAGTATAGCCGTCTTCTATCAACTGTCCGTTGGCATTCTTCAAATATCCAAAAGATGCCCATACTTCCCACTTTGTCTTCTTTGAGGGATAATAAATGTCCTGAGCGCTGCCGTCTCCTCCTTTGGCCATTATTTCAGCTTTAGCTTCAAGAAAGTTTTGGTTGTAAACATCAAAGCGCGCATGTGCCGCTGGCAACTTCAGCAGATGATACGGTGGCTGGTAAGGG